AAATTAATTATTGTGTTTTCTCACTCAGCTTACTCACGTAACTGTTGGACGAGGAACTCGACTAGTTTCAAGTCATGCTAGAGACTCATATTCATGAGCTGCATTCCGCGAAATCACGTAAGTTATATTATAAACAGAGTAAAGTAGGTAAGTAGTAGACCGAGCATAGTGTTCGCAAACAAATTGTTGTTCCGAGTCTGAGTGTCATGTGTATATGAACTTGTATGTTTGTAAACGCACCCACGACACAGGAGAAAATCCTAGTTTGGGGCAACGTTTTTTTTTAATAAGTAGATTCTAAATCGGCTGTATTCTACACGAAGAAGTCTAGCAGTAAAAGATTTGTTGATTATAGTTTCGGTCGTCACACTTTCGATACTTCTGATTAGCTATATCGACAATTAGAATCGTTCAACAAATTTAGCCAAATCTCGACCGAATAATTTTATTTTATTTACAAAAAAAATTTAAGTTTTTCTTGACATGAAAATCGACCGAGCTACAAATAGCAGTACATTAGATCGACCAGGCACAGCCCCAAATATTTTTGAATTACATTTTTAATTTATTATTCACACGTAGACGTGAAATTTAATATGTTTAAACGTTACTCGTTTAACGAAACACCCTGTATACAATACTATAAAAAAAAAATGTAACTGCCACACTTACAGAATAATCACAGAAACGTCAGGCATCTACGGTTAAATTCTCAATACTTTTTTTACATAATATTTTAGTTTATAATATAACATCTCCCCCTACTAAAAAAACCCTCGAAGAAGTATTCTAAATGTTTGGACGCGTTTAATTCCCGAACTTCTGATTAGAATTAAATAATAGAAAGACATAACATAACATCACGCCTTTTATCCCCGAAGGGGTAGGCAGAGGTGCACATTATGCCATTGTACAATGTAACACCCACTTTTCACTATTTATGTTATGAGTCCCATGTAATAGGGGGTGAGCCTATTGCCATATACCGGGCACAATTCCAGACTCCGTGCTACTACTGAGATTTTTTTTAAAAAAAAACCCAGTAATACTTTGCCCGACCCGGGAATCGAACCCGAGACACCTTGCCCGACAGTAGCACTTGGTGGACTGCCTCGTTGGCAGAGTGGTCGCAAGTGCTACTAAAAGAAAGACATCTTTTATAATAACAACCGTGAGACATACTAAATTAACTAAAAATCGCGGGTAACTCACGTGAATATACTGAGAAAAGCTCTACTAGTTTCGAACAACAGAGGGGTTCTTCCTCATGAGTAACTCGCTATTTTTAGTTAAGAAAGAGGTCATTAGCTTGACCTTTTTTTTTCATTTTTATGGGTGGATCGAACACATATAGAAAGACACAAGTGTTTGAAGAGACATCTAAGAAGGAAACCAGAGGCCTTAGTGCTAGTTTGATTTACGTTTAAAGTATTCCAAAAAGCTCTGATTGGCCGGCTCCAATAAACCAACCAATCAGAGCGCCGGACGCGTACTCGTTACGATTACTTTAAATGTATTCTTTTTTTTTGGGACAAGCCCGCCACAACCTCCCAAAACCGCTGCAACTCCTGTAAGCCAGGATCTACAGTAGATACAACAATGAAAATACCGGAACACTGAAGTCCAGCGCGTCCCAGGGACATGAGTAACTGTCTTGGTTCCCGCAACGAAGTGAATCAGAAGATAATAATTGCAGGAATTGCCCTCGGTGAATTACTGCAGGAGACAGAGTGAATTAAGCCTAAAGGCACAAAGAAAAGACACTGTACAACTGGGTGAAACCCAGTCGCCGAGCACAAGGGAAATTTGATTAAAATCTAAGTCGACTTTAAACGTATAACAAACTAGTACTAAGGCTTCACTGCTTAAGGAGCTGGTCTGATAACCAGTACCTTTTTCCTGCCTAGACAACTATTACCTAACCTGACCTGTATGTATGTATATGTGCGCGCTTATCCCGCGATTGGTAAAACCGATTTTAATGGAACTTTCAAGAGAAGTGTTTGTGACACTTATGCCCGAATACTGAAACGTTACTCAATTTTAAGTCACGCTTAAGCATAGTTCTGTCTCCACTAATTCTTTGTGAAATGACAGAGATGGCACGATATTTACGTTTCAGTATTCCGGCATTAGAAGAAGGTATATTAAACTGTCAAACACCAAGCGGACACCGGTGACCGCAACCTATTGTTCTATAATTGTGTCTATAATGACGGTACTCGACGAGATAATTAACAGACTTCCAAAAAAGTGGGGATTGAAGTCGGTTATTTTAACGTAGTTTATAAAGGAATTATTGTGTTGGATAATTCGTTTATCTAGGAAGGCTAGACATTACGATACGATGAAAATGAACCGAGTAATGGATGAAACCGCGCAGGAGTCTAATATAACACCCATTTTTGACCAGTTATGTTATGAGTCCCATGTAAAAAGGGATTGGACGTAAAATTTTCTTAAAAGGTATTCGATATGTCTATTTACTTTAAATACATAACATCACGCCTTTATCTCCCTTAAGGGGTAGAATAAACAATTAATGGAATTATTTTTCAAAGCTAAAAGGGGTACTAACTTAAAGGTACTGTTAGACATGCGTAGCATAAATAGCGTGCTAAAAGATATTGAGCATTAAGTGTGGGAGAGTCATGCTTCGGCACGAATGAGCCGGCTCGACCGGAGTGATACCACGGCCGAGCAGAAAACCGACGTGAAACAACGCTTGCGTTGTGTTTCGTCGTGTGAGTGAGGTTACCGTAGGCCCAATTACCTCCTCCCGATCGCCAATCTCCCCATTCCCTGAAACCTCAACAATGCTCAAATTCCTTATCCCTAAAAGGCCGGTAACGCACATGTAACGCCTCTAGTGTTCCAGGTGTCCATGGGCGACGCCGATTGCTTACCATCAGGTGACCCGTCTGCTCGTTTACTGGCTCATCCCATAAGAAATGCTCAAAAATGTATAAAAATCAAACGCCAGTCGATTCGCGAATATGCCTGTAATGAACTAATTTTGAGCAATATTCCTACACACATGATATTAAGGTATAAGTGCTCAATTGAAGCATGATTTCATGCTTGAAGTTAGCATGTGTAATAGTACTTTTAGACAAGTGGTCAAGATCCAAGCGGTTACCGGTGACCGCTCTCCACTTACACCATTATAGACCTTATTTCCAATGTTTAGAGACTACTTTCATATGAACAAACGTTGTGGATTTTTCATAATCGAACATTAAGAAGTTTAAAAAGGCCGAAGTGCGCTTAATCATCACTAGTACTAATATTAGGCACAATGGAATGAGGAGGGAGCCTAACACCAAGCACGATTCACAATTGGGGCTACCGTATTTGGTCAGTAGATGGCGCAAATGTAGCTAGAGGTTTTTTGTTAAATTACTGCAGATGTCAAATAAAGTGATGTATAGCTAATAGGGTAGTTTTCAAAATGTTATTTTAATATCCGTTTGGTAGATCATGTTAAAACATTAGACACGTATTTTTGTTTTTCTTGCAAAATTTAATACTTTCGACAATATATTGCTTCAAAACATCGTGTGACGTCACAACGTGGTACAATTTTGTACGGACGCTGTACGACCTCCCACTCCTAAACTTAACTCCGTGTTATCTAAGTATTGTTTTCTTATACGACAAAATAAAAGAATACGTGTCTAATATCTTTTCATTATCTAACTGACAGACTAATTAGAGTTGGACGAAAAGTGATAGGTTCACACTAGCGCCATCTAATGAGTTAAAATATAGCCCTCATTAGGTATTTATTTATGTTAATAATCACAATGTAACTGGGGAAGAACCCACTACCGATTACAAATCCGTTATTTTTATATTAATAGCTATTTTATAAATGGGAGCTAGCCTATCACTAAATACCTCAGCTTAAATCCGTCTTAATTCATCATCATCATCATCAGTCCATAACAACGTGTTACTACAATTTACTCTACGTGACAAATAGACAATACCAACCTATACAAGGTGTAGTTTTGAAGCCGTGATATTTCTTGGGGGCATGTCACAGAAGTCATAAAGGTTTAATGTAAGAGAATATTTCGGGCCAATATGTAAAAATACAGCTATAACAAATTGTTTAAGTTCGACAGTATTTCAGAATAACCGACAGCAATGTTTCTTATTGGAGTTTTATGGAATTAGGAATAATATCAATTACATGTTTGAGTTTGTATGTGTTAAGCCGCGTTATAACGCTAGTTAAAAGAGGACGGCGTGTAGGTCGCACTTATGGATTTCCGTAATTTACAGAAAAATGAAAAATATTTACCTACAATTTCTTTTATTGATTCGGACTCAGAATCGATAGCCGAGTTATTTCTTAGAAAATGACGCGGCTTTAAAACAACACCTTGTATATAAAACTGGAGTGTTTGTGAACTCATGTCCGGGACTACTGGTCCAATTTAAAAAAATCTTTTTGTGTTGAAAAGTTCATTTATCGAGGGACACTATAGGCTATAAAACATCGCGCTACGACCAATAGGAGCCGAGCAGCGGGTAACACTGCGCCAGAGTAGCTAGTATGTAATATAACAGTTCAAGCACAATTCTTATCGAATTCTTCGCCCTACAAGATTTTAACGGCCAAGTCACTAAGCCGTTTACAAATTCATTCTAAACTAGACCTTACGTAGTTAATATTATGGCCGTTTTTCGTCCATGTGTACCGTCATCAGTGAGTCTTCTGGATGGATTTCTAATATGGCTTCTGTACCATCGTTGAAGGGGAATGAGACGCTGCCATCGATTACTAGGCCTGGAACAATAGAAATAGGAGTTATTGTTATTTGAATATTTCCTACGTAGAAATAAATTGATTATTATATAGTTTAGTGCAAAGGATAATGTGTAAATAATGTCCAGCACATTAAATGAAAACTTTATATTTCGCCTTTTTTTTGTGACAATGACTTCTCTCGCCCGGGTGACGCGAGAGGGAGTGTCAGACTCTTACTGACTAAAAACCACCCCGTTCCTACTCCTGCACTTCGAGCCGGAACCCCGGCAGCCCGTTAAGTGTCTGTGGTGGTCTGTTGGCTCCTTAAGGCATGCGCGGAACGCTTGGCCCTGGTTCTGATCAGATCGCAGGTCCGTGCTTACGGTGGCCAGAGATCGTCTCGTGATCCCCGACACCCGGAGTGTCTCTCGCGACGACTGGGGCGTGAGGAGGTTCATTCCCTAACGCGCTCCGCCTCCTCCTTAGCTATTATAACTGCTTTGCAGAAGGAGGAAACGACATCCCAGTCCCCCTCGCTCCGTACCATGGTCTGAACCAGGGCCGGACGCAAGAGGTCGCCGTCGCCGATCACGTCTGTTAGGACATAGCGGTGCCCAACCTAAGCAGGGCACACCGCCACTGTATGCTCCACCGTCAGTTAATAACTCTAGGCAATACGTATCTAAAGGGAACATTTTGTTTTGGAAACTGTAATCGGGAAGAAAACAGGAATCATGTTTTTGTGCGAACGAGGTGAAGTGAACTTACCCGCATCAGTACAATGCGACTTGACTTTAACCGAGCTAGCCTTGTCCCGTACTTTGAGTCCGCGGGGAGTGGGCCACTCCTCGAACGTTATGTATTCACGCACTGAATACGCTAGCTGGTCGGAATCTGAAACAAATTGTTGGGTTTTTAATGTGTTGTTATTATTTTTGATAACAAAACATTGGTACACGCATGCAGGAGAAATTCTTACTGTGAAGCAATTTAATAATAAAAATATCGTGAAGTGGCCGTATCGTAAGTAAGTTAAGTGTGGGAGAGTCATGCTTCGGCACGAATGGGCCGGCTCGACCGGAGTGATACCAAAATCTGGGTTTGCATATTGACTGCAATTTAAAGTGGCATGCTCAAATCACAAATGTATGCAGGGGGGTTACTGGATCATTGCGTGCTCTGTATCGCGTAAAAAATTTGCTTCCTCCCGCTACGAAGGCCATGTTGGTGCAAGCCTTGGTTTTCCCTATCATCGATTATGCTGATGTCTGCTACTACGACCTGAATGCAGATCTCCTCAATAAGCTCGACCGACTTCTAAATAACTGCATCCGATTCGTTTTCAACCTGCGTAAATACGATCATGTTTCTGCACATCGGTTGCAACTAAAGTGGCTGCCCATACGCCAGCGCAGGGAGCAAAGGGCGCTAACCACTCTATTCTCCTTTCTTTCTTCACCTTCTTCACCCAGTTATCTATCCCCTTACTTTCAATACTTATGCGCAAACCACAGTAAAAATCTTCGTTCTTCTCACAACCGTCTTCTCCAATGTCCCACTCATCGCACTGACTTCTTACATTCATCCTTTTTCGTACAGGCAATTTTTCTGTGGAATGCGCTCCCCCTGGATGTCAGGATGGTCTCAACTCGACTAACTTTTAAGCAGAAAGTACGTGAGCTTTTCCTAAAGAGGTTGGCTGAATCATCGCGCTAACTATCCACTGTGTACTAGTAAGCAAGTATATATTTATATATTATGTATATATGTATGTATGTAGGCATATTGTACTCATGTGTAGGTATACATTATAATTAAATTTATTTATGTATGTATATCTCCGAAATATATTAGTTTATCTTTCATTGTTAAATAAAATCACTGCTTGCCTCTTGCACCTACCATTTACTCTTCTCTGCATCACCCAAAGGTCAGACTGGTAGAAAATGCCTGCGGCATTAAGTCCACCTTTTTGTACATTTTGTGCATGAAGCATTTTAAATAAATAAAAATAAATAAATACCACGGCCTCACAGAAAACCGACGTAAAGCAACGCTTGCGTTGTGTTTCGTCGAGTGAGTGAGGTTACCGGAGGCCCAATTGTCCTCCCCTTCCCCAATCTCCCCAATTCCTGAATACCAACGATATTCAAACTTCTAATCCCCAAAAGGCCGGTAACGCACTTGTAATGCGTCTGGTGTTCCAGGTGTCCATAGGTGGCGCCGATTGCTTACCATCAGGTGATCCGTCTGCTCGTTTACCGGCTTATGCCATAAAAAAATCGTTAACCGAGTGGTCGCGTCACTGCATTTTAAGTTGCGCTTAAATATAGTTCTGTCACTATAAATACTTCGTAAAATGACAGAGAAAGCACGATATTTAATTGTACCTTAAGATTGGGTAGCCTTTCAGGATTCGGGCGTTAGTATCAACGCCAATGCTACTGTCAAAGTCAATATCAAAGTCAAAGTCAAAGTCAAAATCAAAATCAAAGTCAAATCATTTATTTCAACGGGATTAATATCACTTTTAAAGCATGACAGAGTACGGATTAGTTTAGCTTCTTATTAAAATAATTATAATTACCTGCAGCGAACATGAGTTTCTGGTTATATTTCTCAGTGACTTCGCGCGCCTTCTCCATGGCCGTGTCCAATGGGACCTTGTACTCCTCGTGGAGGATCTTCATCAGCTCCTGCACTGATTGCGTGCGGAGACAGTTTATACTGGAATTGACAATATTGCATTAATTTATTTGTAATACTTTCTTTGTTTAATTACGATTATGGGATTGTTTCACATTTAAGCTGTCAAACACCAAGCGGTCACCGGTGACCGCAACCTATTGTTCTATAATTGTGTCTATAATGACGGTACTCGACGAGTTAAAGTAATCGAAACGAGACCCCGTTCGCTCTGGCTTGCCGTGGCATGGGAGCAGTTATTCGGGATAAAAGTATCCTATCACCTAAGTCGTCAGCCCATACCCTGTCTGTATACCAAATTACATCAAAATCCGTTCAGTTGTTTCAGCGTGATTCACGGACGAACATCCAAACAAATTTATATATTTTAAAACTGTAGAAGCGTTCTGTACTTTGAAAATATTAATCTAGATAGACACAGAACCCAAGAAAGTGATTTAAAAAAATTGTCTGTCTGTATGTTCACGCATTACGCAAAAACTACAGGTCCGATTGCTAAGAAACTTGGTATGATTATACCTTAATATCCTGGGCACAACACTCTGTACTTTTTATCCCGAAAAAGTATATAAACAAAAAACCAAACTTAATTGTGCTGCTCAATGCTTAGACATAGTTACTGTACCAAACGCAAATATAAGTTGGTCGAATGTTAGTTTACCTGCAGTGGACTTTACGCTGCTATGCTGGGAGAAACTAAACATAACATCATAACATTACGCCTTTTATACCCGAAGGGGTAGGGGGATAGGCAGAGGTGCACATTACGGCACATTATGCCACTGTACTATGTAACACCCACTTTTCACTATTTATGTTATGAGTCCCATGTAATAGGGGGTGAGTCTATTGCCATACACCGGACACAATTCCAGACTCCGTGCTACTAGTGATAATTTTTTAAAAACCCAGTTATACTTTGCCCGACCCGGGAATCGAACCCGAGACCCCTTGCCCGGCAGTCGCACTTGCGACCACTCGGCCAACGATTCGCAGAAGCTAGATTATAATATTAATATGATACCTAAAGTGCCACGAAGTGCTCCCAGTCCCAGTAGTGACACAGAGTCCGGAGCTCTTCGTATGAGACCAGGCGCCGTTGTCTATCTGTAGTCGGAGTAGTGACACGCGGGATGTTACACTCTCGCCTATAAATACCTGCGAATTTAAATATAAACATTATTAGTAACACAATTCTTGTATTATTTTAAGGGGGGAAAATCGTCGAATGACTGCCCCCGCCTGGGTGAGGCGGGAGGGAGTGTCAGACTCTTACTGACTAAAAACCACCCCGTTCCTTCTCCTGCACATCGAGCCGGAGCCCCGGTTACCGGTTAGGTTCTCCGCGACACGATTTTTGTATAGGCTCTTAAGTCTTTCAGTCACGGAGTTTGAAGGAATTAACATTTACTTAAGTAAACTTTCGAAAATGAAAATGAAATGAAAATGAAAATATTTATTTGTAAACATAGGTACAATGGGGTGTTACATTTCATGGTATAATATTGACCATCTATGTTTTGTGATATGTCACATACAAATTAGGTTGAAAAATTTAGTTTAAGTATTTAAATAACGTCATTAATATTAATTTCATTCGAATAAATTATTACAATAGTCACGAATGTATATAAAAATATAGATAATGTCATTGATGAAAATTTTAAATATTAATTATTAGTGGATGTCAACATGAACGTGAATCAGTACATTTTTTTAAGTCATATTACCTAGTCAGTGGGTACAACATACTAAAAGTTTTACTGATAATTTCGTTGTTCCTATATAAATCAAAACAAATGCCACCAATGCAAATCGGATCCAGCACGCAGTCATCTTTCATCTAAAAATTCCTTGGTGGAGTAGAAACAAAAGGATTAGAATTCGAGGATGTCCGACTAGTTTCGGACTAAACCGGCAATCATAATCGTGTCCAAGTCGAACATTATCGAAGTTTTTTTAATAACTATCGTGAGACATTATATTGTAGGCGGTACGAAGTCTGCCGGGTCAGCTAGTTAGGTATAAAACCCTTACCTCATTAAGGGCCAGGAAAGGTAACACTTTAGTGGCGAGCGTGGGACTGACGGGCGCGTCCTTTATATTGGTGGCGATCTGTCGAGAGTTCATGTTGTAAGCGTCCACCATCTCATGGGTGTTCTGGACTGGAGGATATCTGCATAAACAATAAATGTCATTATCTCAAAGGTTTCAAAGTCCGAATACTGAAATAACACAACATCACGCCATTTATCACCAACGGGGTTTACCGGGCACATTTCCAGACTCCGTGCTAGAGGTACTACTGCGATTTTTTGAAAAAAACCCTATAATTGTTTGCCCGACCCGGGAATCGAACCCGAGACCCCACTGCCCGGCAGTCACACTTGCGACCACTCGGCCAACGAGGTAGCCGCGTCTAATGTTTTTAAATAATATACAAGACGGACATCAAAATAAAAATTTACTATCTACCGAATACGGATAAGCAAGTCAATTCATTTTAAGACATAGATTGACTGGAATGAGGTCGTAATAGGGCCTCTACTAGGGCTACAGACTTCTACCAACCTGCAAAAATGCAGTGTGTGTAGATCTACAGGGGTGATGGTCTCCAACAGCTGCGGCTCCGAGGTGACGGTCGTACGTATCCTGGAGCGACGCATCCATCTGAACCTGCCCTGCAACATTAATATATAATAGGTATTATTTATTTTGTACACGTGACGCGTGACATAATAAAACATTTATTACTGTTTAAGTTTGGATGCCCACTGTTCAATAGTTTTCAACACTTTTGATTTTTTTATGGCGTAAGCCGGTAAACGTGCAAACGGATCACCTGATGGTAAGCAATCGGCGCCGCCTATGGAACACCCAAAACACCAAGGCGTTACAGGTACTGGCCTTTTGGGAATTGGGAATTTGAGGATTGTGAAAGATTCGGGGATTCGGGAGACTAGGGAGGGGGGTAATTGGGTCTCCGGTAACCGGTAACTCACTCGACGAAACACAACGCAAGCGTTGTTCACGTCGGTTTTCTGTGAGGCCGTGGTATCACTCCGGTCGAGCCAGCCCATTCGTGCCGAAGCATGGCTCTCCCACACTTCAATCAGTAATGTAATCAGTACAGTCTTTACTACATGGGCACTCTGGACCCGTGCCTATCCTCAGGGGGATTTTTACGACGGACCGCCAACCGGCTGCCCCTCAACTTGTAGCGGGTTCGATTCCCGCACGGAGCAAATCTTTATTTGATCCACAAATTGTTGTTTCGAGTCTAGGTATCATGTGTATGTGAACCTATATGTTTGTAAATGCACCTACGGTACAGGAGACTGGATGAAATAAAGGGGATCCTACGGGAACGGATAAACTGGGATAACGCGTACAAAATTTTTAGCCGAAGCTAAAATACAATAGAAGAAAAAAAAAACAAATAATAAGGTACCAACTTTATACCAACCTCTTTGATCGCCTGGAACGCACCCTTCACGTCGTTGGAACACCAGGTGGGTAAACAGAGGCGCCCTACCGACTTCTGTGGTGAGCTGTTGAAGCCTATCACTGGTTTACTGTGAAAATAAAAATAATTCGTTAAGTTCGACTGCTGGGCAATGAGTCTCGGGTTCGATTCCAGGGTCGGGCAAAGTATTACTGGTTACTTAGTATTACTGTTTTTTTTTAAATTGACGGTTGTCGGACAGACGGACGGAATAGGGGTCTATTACATGGGACTCATAACATAAATAGTGAAAAGTGGGTGTTACATTGTACAGTGGTATTAAGTGCCATAATGTGCACCTATGCCTACCCCTTCAGGAGTAAAAGGAATGATGTTATGATGATGACTCTTCTGTTCACTTTAATGAGACTAGTGCTTATGCCAAGTAGGGGGATCCGTTCAAGTTCTTAATGATCTACAGAGTTCTACTTACTTAGCGTCTCTGACTCTAGAGGCTGCTAGAAGGAAGGTGCCATCCCCACCACATGGCACCACGACGTCGCACCAACTTATTATATCATCGTTGTATGTTAATCTGGAAATAAAGAATCATGATTAAAATAAGTTATGTATGGGAGAGCCATGCACGAATGGGCTGGCTCGACCGGAGTAATATCACGGCCGAGCAAAACACCGACGTGAAACAACGCTTGCGTTGTGTTTCGTCTTGTGAGTGAGGCTACTAGAGACTTAATGACTTTTAATAACCCAATTTATTATAAGTATAGCAATGTTTATTCATAGTTTTAGTTTATTTTGTTGGTTGCACTGCTAAGAGTGAACGTCATGTCACTTAAATGTCAATGTTGGTAATACTCTTTTTTTTAAGCTTCACTTCTATCGAGGCTGTACGTGTATAATATAATATTGTTAAAATAACTCCGAAAATAAATAAGACAAGTGTTAAGAAAAAGTACTGTTCTTCTTTTCTTTTTCAAAATCATCAGGTTATGGGCCCAGGCACATATTCCTGCTTGATTTAAGGTGGACGTTAGTGTCGGCCACGGCAGCAATCGACGGGAAGGAAAGTGAGGTTATCCACCTGGCGTGGTACTCCGGCTCGGGTACTGCGGAACATCGTCGAGGAGTATCTGTTCTTAATTGGGATAAGACAGAGTCGGAATGGAGGGAAGCAACAGCAATAACGTCAATGTGATCAAGTTAGAAGGAGCCAAAAATTGGAACCTATGGAAATTTCAGACAACGGTACTATTGAAGGGCAATGGCTGGTTTAACATAGTAGAAGGAAAACAGGTGAAGCCCGAAGCTGCAAGTGAATTACCAACATGGGAAGCGAAGGATGCCAAAGCGCAGATGCTATTAGTCACACGGATGTCGGAGGAGGCCATGTTACACATTATCACATGTACGAGTTCTGCAGAGATGTGGAGGAAACTTCATAGTGTCTACGAACAAAAGACTGAAACCAGTGTCCATATTATACAACAAAGATTTTTTCAGTATAAATTCGAAAGAGGATTAGACATGTCGATCTTCTTGTCTAAAATACAAGAATTACAAAACCAATTAAAACAGATGGGCGAAGAAATCTCAGATAAGTTTGTTATCACGAAAGTATTAATGTCATTACCCGATGAATACAAACACTTCGTGTCGGCTTGGGAGTCCGCGCCTGACGACAAACAAACTTTTGATAATCTAGTGGCCAGACTACTAATTGAAGAAGAGCGATTAAAAGAGAAGAACGAAGAAGCACAGGAAGCATCATCCTCTGCATTCTATGTAAGAAATAAAAGGCCTATGATGAAATGTTTCAAATGTGGTAAAAGTGGGCATTATCAAAATGAATGTAAGAGTAACAACAAAATGAATAATAGAACGAATAATGAAGGAAATGTGAATAATAGTAATAACTGTTTCTATTGTGGAAAGTTTGGACATTTCAAAGCTCAATGCCGATTTCGAAAACAAAGAATATCCAAAAGTGAAAATAAAACGCAAAGTAACGCGTTTGTGGTGTCTCATTCGTCGCATCAACTGCATAAATCCAAGTGGCTAGTGGATTCTGGTGCCAGCGAACACATGTGCCGGGATCGTGAATTGTTCACTTCATTCACAAATACTTCGCCTAAACCTGTAATTGTCGGTAATGGTGCAGTGATAAATGCGCTTGGTTACGGACAGATGGCAGTACAAGTATCGAACGGAAACGAATGGATTGACACAACCATAGATAATGTGTTGTATGTTCCTGAACTAAAAACGAACTTGTTCTCGGTCAATCGCGCCACTGAGAGAGGTTATGTCATGGTGACAGATGACAGTTCATGCAAATTATTCAAGTCAAACAAAATTTGTGCAGTTGCGGAAAGAATTGGAAATTCTTTTTATTTGGATTTACACTATAATAATAACTGTGAGATTGCGAATACTGCTAAGTTAGTATCGAACGACCTGAATGAATGGCACAAAAGATTGGCGCATCAAAACTTCACTTACGTAAAGGATATCTTGCGGAAAAACAACATCGAGGTCAAACACACATCCAACCCGGTGTGTGAGAGTTGTTTGGTTGGAAAAATACACAGATTGCCATTCAACAAAAGTGAATACAAAAGTACTAGGACATGTGAGCTAATTCATGTCGATACTTGCGGTCCTATGGAAGAACCGTCAGTTGGTGGTTCGAGGTACTTCGTTGTGCTAAAAGATGACTATTCGAACTTCAGAAGTGTGCATTTTGTCAAAACCAAAGATAAAATCAAGTATGTCATTGAGGATTTCATAAATAAGGCCGAGAATGTTACAGGAAACAGGATCAAGACATTTAGAAGTGATAATGGTCTCGAGTTTGTGAACCGGGATGTGAAGGAAATGTTTGCAAGACGTGGAATAACACACCAAACTACAGTACCATACACCCCAGAGCAAAATGGAAAGGCTGAAAGGGAGAATAGAACGTTGGTGGAAGCGGCCAGGACAATGATACATGAGAGAAATCTACCAACAAAACTATGGGCTGAAGCTATAAACACGGCAGTGTTTGTGTTGAACAGGACAGGGAAAAGCCATGAGGAAGGAAAATCTCCATTTGAGGTATGGACTGGGAAAACTTATGATATTCATCAATTGAGAGCCTTTGGTACAGAAGTATACACACACATTCCGAAGCAAAAAAGAAGGAAGTGGGATCCGAAAGGAGAGAAAGGAGTGATGGTCGGGTATGAGGAGGATGTGAAAGGATTCAGAATTTACTATGCGCAGAAAAATGTGGTGGAGACGAAAAGGGACATTGTATTCTTACAGCAAGGAGATAAGGAGAAATCTCAAGTTAAGGAAAGTAAAAGCCAAATAATAATGTCATTAAATCCTGAACAGGAGATGGTGCAAGAGATTACTCCTGAGGCCGATGAGACAATGACAGAGGGTCATGACCTCAATGAGATAGAGACAACCCATACAAATAGTACTCTAGAAGATAAATCAGAAAGTGACAGTGATTACTTACCATGCAGTGAGGAAGAACAGCTACTGGAAGAAACTGATTTACTTATAAGGGGAAGGAGTAAGCGTGAGCGTAAACAAACGGACCTCTACAGGTGTAATAATGTGCAGCTGGACCAAAGTGAGTGCGATCCTATTACTTATAGAGATGCCATGAGCAGAAGTGATGCGGGTAAGTGGAGTGCAGCCATTGCTAGGGAACTTAAGACTCTGAGTGACAATAACACATGGGAATTTTGTGATTTGCCTGTAAATGCAAAGCCTATAAGTAGCAAATGGGTCTTTAGGATTAAAAATGTAAATAATGTTAAAGAGTATAAGGCTAGGCTTGTTGCTAGGGGGTTCGAGCAACAAGATATAATAAACTTAAGTGACATTTATGCCCCAGTAGCTAAGCTAGCAACTTTCAGGTTATTTGTAATAATGGCAACTAAATATAACTTACCTATATACCAAATGGATGTTACAGGGGCCTTTTTATATGGTGATATTAAAGAAAATGTATATGTAAGCTTGCCAGAAGGGGCCTACTCAGATAATAATAATATTGTAAAGCTAAATAAGTCATTATACGGGCTAAAAGGTTCGCCAAAATCCTGGAATGTGAAAATTAATTCTGTATTAATTGAAGAAGGGTTTATTAGGTCAAAATGTGACCCATGCTTGTATAAAAAGTATAATGGTAAAGATAAAGTATTTGTGTTAATATATGTCGACGATCTGCTTATTTTTGGAACAAATACAAACTTGGTAACTAACATAAAAGCAATGTTAAACAGAGAATTTAAAATGAAAGATTTAGGATTGATTTCAGATTTTTTAGGTATAAATGTTGAACAAAACTTAGAAACAGGGATAACAATGTTATCACAAAGAAATTACTTAGAAAATGTATTAAAAAGATTTAATATGGAAAACTGCAAACCAATGTTAACACCCCTGGATATAAACTTTAATACTAAGATTTTTGATATAAATACGGATTGTGATAAAGATATTGAAGAAATTTGTAGGCAAATAATTGGCTGCCTTATGTATGCAGTTTCAGGGACTAGGCCTGATCTGTGTTTTGCAGTCTCCTTACTAAGTAGATATCAGAATTGTGCCAACAGTGCATTACTAAGTGCACTTAAGAGAGTATTGCGCTATGTAAAGCATACTTTAGATTATAAAATAGTTTATAAGTGTAATAATAATGAGTTGCATGGCTATTGTGATGCTGATTGGGGAGGTGATCAGAGGGACAGAAAGTCTACATCTGGCTATTTGTTTCTTTTTGCAAATTGTTTGATTATGTGGGGTTCAAAGAAGCAATCTTCTGTAAGCCTGTCTTCTACTGAAGCTGAATATATTTCTATGAGTATGGCAGCGAGTGAAGCATGTTGGCTTATTAATTTATTACATGATTTAGATGTTAAAAATGTTTGCCCAGTCAAGTTGTATTGCGACAATCAATCAGCTATTTTAAATGCAAGTACAGACTCAGTTAAACGTCTTAAACATGTTGATATTAGATATCACTTCATTAAAGATTTAATTACAAATAAGAAAATTGATATTCAGTATGTAAGTACCTGTGAACAACTGGCAGACATGCTTACTAAGTCTTTATGTAAGGATTTGTTAATTAAGTGTCTAATTCAATGCAATGTTACATTTTAAGGTACTTCACAGAGAAGTTAAACTAGTATAAGATTTAGTTTAATTCGAATGATATGTATAAACATTGAGAAGGGGTATTATAAGTATAGCAATGTTTATTCATAGTTTTAGTTTATTTTGTTGGTTGCACTGCTAAGAGTGAACGTCATGTCACTTAAATGTCAATGTTGGTAATACT